GATTTACTCCTGATTTCTAAACTGCTGGGTAGTGGTTCAGTGACATAGCTGGACTGTCCTCTGTGTCTTGTAGGCTAATGATAATTGGAATGTGAAGAACATCCATCTGGGCACTCACATACCCAGCACAATTACCCTCCAATTTCCTTCAAATTTCTCCAACCAAGTAATGCTATATGGTCAGGAACTACCTCACATATTCTGAGTGTTTGTTCTGCCCCAACCTGAAATCCAGGTTCCAAATCTGCTTGTTTCTTTCACCAAATGATTAACAAGGAAATAATTTATGTAATTAAATTCTGATTTCTAGAGCTCTCACCTGTTTTTGTGGCAGCTTCAAAGAAGGATTCTTCTGGGACATTTGGTTACAGGAGCCAAACTTCTTTCCTTCTATTCCTGATTATTAAAGCGGGTAAAATATAAGGAAAGTATTTTGTAAACTGTATTGTGCTTGGTCCTCTTACTTTTGACAGTAGCAAGTATTTAGGAGACGTTTTCTGAGATAATCAGGAGTGGCATTTGGTCAGATAATCAAAACACTTAACTGAAATAAGGAATCATTTTAAAATGATGAAAACTATCAAAGTGTTATATTTTAGTGCAAAATATTTGTAGGCAGAGCTGACATTTGGCCAGCATGCACTGCCCATGGCTACATAATTGCTTAAATTTGAGCATCTTTTCTGATGGGACAGACATTTATTCTGCTTGGTCAATGTCAAAACCTTACCAGTTAATAGAGTATTTGGATATAATCCCACTATATTCATCAATATTTTGACATAGAATCAAGGTCCTCTTTTTCAGAGTGGATCTTCTTATAGCAATTCTGAATCATTCCTCCATAAACCACAGCCATAATATGTTATCCTTAATTTTCAGTTTCAAGTTTTTTTTTTTATTGCTCAATGAGAATTGAAAATAACTTGCTATACATAATGAAGACTTCCACACATTTATGATTCCCCCTAGAAATTCCCCCTAATCCTCCTTCTTTTTTTTTTTTTTTTTTTAGATGGAGGCTCACTCTGTCACCCAGGCTGGAGCGCAGTGGTGCCATCGAGGCTCACTACAACTTCCACCTCATGGGTCCAAGTAGTTCTTGTGCCTCAGCCTCCCTAGTAGAGCTGGGATTACAGGCGCCTGCCACCACATCCGGCTATTTTTTTGTGTTTTTAGTAGAGACAGGGATTCACCATGTTGGCCAGGCTGGTCTCAAACCCTGATCTCAGGTGATCCACCCACCTCAGCCTCCCAAAGTGCTGGAATTACAGCTATGAGCCACTGTACCCACTCCCACCTAATCTTTTAGAATATTTCACCTACACCTCATTTAATGGCAATTTTGAAATCTCACCAAAATGAATCTTGACAAGCATTCAATCTGTGATAGAATCAACAATGGCATACTCATATTTATATTCTATGGGTTTACATAATAGCTAATTGAATTATGTAATTATAAGAACTAGCACAACTGTCACGAAATACAAGGAAACAAACACAACTGATCCTGATAAGCATAATTCAAGTGGTGGGAGCCGAAGTTTGCTAGCATTTAGACTCAAATTTAGCCTACTGGTCCTAAGGGTTTAGTCTACCAGGGACACTTTTTATTAAGTAGAAATACATGAAAATGCCGGTTATTCTAGCATTTCTTGACCCACAAAACCAGCGATTTAATATGGTTCAACCAGTATGTTTTATAGAGTGATGACAAGCTGGTCTGGTGAGTTAGTTAAGTGCAGGTCAGCTAAGGCTGCTTCTATTATAATATTCAAAGAGCTGTTTTTCAACATTGTGCTTCCTCTTTAAGTGTTTTGAACTGCCCTTATTAATGGTGCTTATTCTTCTGCCAAGCATTCTACAAAAAATTTTCCTGTAACCTCAAAAGAAAAGTCCCCACAACCCCACCAAATATGCTATGGTTGAATAGGTTTGGGAAACACTATATACCATAGCCACCTAGAAGATTCATAATGATCATTAGCATATTAAAGGCTCTGAGAAGTCCTGTAGCAAAGGCCTTTGTTTAACCTTGTTTACCTTAGAGTTTCATAATTTATTTCACAAAAGTAGGCCGTTTCATGTAACATCTAATCCTGAAGAGCTAATGTTTAATGAAACAACCACACTTTGGTAAACACTACTCAACCAGCATTAAGGAAAGTATTATTCAGACTTTGTAGTAGATTAAACAAATATCATCTTAATGTCTGTTAGAAACAGCACAATTTGTGCAGGTGTCCCAAAGCACTATACAAATTTCATTTTGTGGTAATGTTCCCCTCTTGTACAAATAGAAAAACAAAGGTATAAAGAGGCATTAGATTGCTTGCCAGAATACACACAAGATTGAGACAAACTGGAACCAAGACCCACATGTCCTAACAATGATTTCTCATCTGTGTTTACAAACAGAACCAAATTGCAAATTGTAGCCACTAGCCACTTAACTATTGAAGAGTTAAGGTAAAAAGTATACTCCTTGAGCCAGAAATAGCAAATAAGACTGGGGAACTCTAGGAGAATGTAACATTGACCTGTTTGATTGCTGGTGACTTTCATCAGTAATTGAGAGCAGGGACTCTAAATTTCCAACAGCTACAGGGATTCAAGGATTGGCTGTGTTAGCTCAAAAGCTTCTTGAAGAAAACATGACATGAATATTTGGCTCTCTGTTGAAGAGATTCCGACCTTGAGAGAATGAATCTCAGTCATCTAGAAGGTTAAATAGAATTATGTGTTCTGATGCTCGTTAGAGTAATGGGTGTTTCCCAGCATTTTAGAATTGCATGCTACATGACATGCTAATAACCTTTACAGCATGCCTGCCCATTCCCTCTGCCTGGGTGGGAGGTGTGGAGCGGTGATGTGAGACTTAAGAATCAGATTTATAGACATCTTTGCTCTATAAGTGTTATCTTTGAATACACTCCCACACCACAGGGCCTCATTGCCTCTGTCACAAACAGTATCTGTTATTTCAGAACACTGCAATGCTTACCTCAAGGCCAAGAGAGAGTTGTCAAATAAAGATGAAGAGGCTTTTGGCAAAAAAATAAAAAATAAAAGAGTGCTCTTAAAATGTTTACCTTCTCATACCTAATGGTTTTAGATCATATCTTATTAGTCTAGGAGACCATTATATAAAGTACAATTAAGATCTCCTTGACATTTTCTAGGAGTTCCAATTCAGCTTTGCTAATAGCTATAACTTCATTACTTTCTTTTTTCAAAAATGTAATGCCACATAGTGTTGGAAATGCAGTTTACAATAATGTGGATACCCAGGGTGCATTTGCAGTAATTACACAGAATGTCAACAGCCTCTCAAGCTGGGTCCTGAGCTGATTGCTTTTTGTGACTTTCTAATTTGGGCAACTTGTTGGAATTACTCTTCTCCCTGCAGGCTCCTTCTTCTCCAAGACTGTGCAAAAAGTGCTCTCCAAACTTTTGGTTTGATCCCTTCTATTGAGTTTTATAGTACCCAAATTACAGGAAGAAATTTGAGCTAGGCATAAGAATAGAATAATTGTTCTCATAGCCAGTATCCCACCCAGACAATCGGCAACTTTTGTTTTTTTTGTTTTGGTTTGGTTTTATTGAGACAGAGTCTCTCACTTCATCAACCAGGTGAGTGCAGTTGTGTGATCCTGGTTCACTGCAACCTCCGCCTTCCTGGTTCAAGCTTTTGTCAGGCCTTGGCCTCCTGAGTAGCTGGGATTACAGGCGAGCGCCACCACGCCTGGCTAATTTTTTGTGTTTTTAGTAGAGATGGAGTTTCACCATGCTGACCAGGCTGGTCTTGAACTCCTGACCTCAAATGATCCACCCCCCTCGGCCTCCCAAAATACTGGGATTACAGGCAGCAACTTTTCTTCAATAAATATCTTTTAAGCGTCTGTTATATTCAGCCCCATTCTAGGCAGTGAAGACACCAAGCTGAATAAGACTCTCTCTTGCTGCATTTGCATGTGTTGAAGTAGGAGGGTCCGGACACATCTTTCCATACATGGAAGGATTTCTGCACAGAAAAGACGTCCTGTAAGAGTTAAAAGTTGAGCCGTAAAGTTCTATGCCCTACCCTTTTCCCTTTACATTTTTTCCTCTGTGGCCTCGTGCTATCCAGACCTCTCATTATCAGGCGGCTTAATGTGGCTCGCTATTTGGTAAATAAGCAATAGCTAATATTTATGGAGTGCCCACTCTCTATCAGCTCTGTCATAGCCTCTTCTATATGCAATTCATTTGATCCTGACAATAAATCTATATGGCAGATATGATTATCTACCTTTTTAGATGTGAGGAAACTGAGGCACAGGGAGATTAAGTGTCTCACACCTTAATGAGTGGAGAATCTGAAGTCTGAACCTTGATTATTTGCAGTCAAAGACCCTGCCACTGCTCTGCCATTAGGAGGGAAGTCCTGATAAGGAATCGTGATGGTAAATTAAACAACATCGTCCCCAGAATGTGACTAACGCATGTCAAAAAACCAGGATAGCTGAAAATAAACAGGGTCTGGACAGAAATAGAACAAAGACTTTTCTCTTAGCTACATCTGCTTAAGTACTTATGGCACCAGTTCCTCTGAACTGAGGAATAAGGGCTAAAACAAGAACAGCCCTGTTTGTGATCCGCCATTGTTCAAAACATCATAGTAAGGCTTAGGTTACCTGCTCGGTGTAGCTACATTGATACCATATGAATGGGGCATTCCGTTGAACTAACTGATTTTGTTCTATTTATAAAGTCCTGAAATAAAGGGATGTTTTCCAGAATTATTAAAGTAGAAGCCTGAGCAGGTAAGCTGTGCCCCACCTCACGACTGCTGCCAGAGCTCAGCGGTGTGAAGTGAGCAGATGAGAAAAGTCACACCTCTTGCAGAATCCAATTAAATCAGACTCCTCCATTTTCCTAGTATGACATACTATTTTGATAATAAATTAAAAGCAGGAAGCCAAAAGAGGGTTCAAATTACCTTATGCTCCCAGCATACTAAGGGAGGATGCACCTTTGGGAATGCCTGAAGCAGTTATTTCTGAGACACTCATTATATTTCAGGCAATTTGCGATACGGGAAGAAGGAGTCAGTGAGCAGACAGGTTAACTGTTCAGGTTAGCACTAGATCTCAGAAAGTGCTACACCAGACACGGGGCGGTGTTATGCCACTGATCACAGAGATACCCTTTCTGTTACCCAAGAAGCACAGTCATTCTCAAGGCCAGGATCGCTGGGGTGAGGTTTTTCTCTTTATAGTATCGACCATATTTTTCACTTGCTTGACTGGTCAAAGAACAGGTTTGGTCCTGTCACTAGATGTCTCCAGGGTTAAATGGGAAAGAATTGTAAAACGGTTGTGCTTATTTAAATGGGTTTCTGTTTCATTCTCATTGTCTGTGAATAAACTTTATTGTATGCTGTTTATGTTCCTTTCAAGCTGCTTAATTATCTTATTTTTCTGACTCCAAGTCCATTTGAGACTGGCTGAAATAAGTTCCAACTTTTATTTCTGATTTTCTTGACCACTGAGTTGGTTTTGGTCATGCTTTCAATATTGTCATGCTGCAAGTTATTGGTTATAAAACTTTTGCGTATTGCTATAATTGTGTTGACTAAAAAACTTAAGAATGCTTTATTAATAGATTTGAAAGCGTACAGTATACAGAAGGCAGATGAAATATGTTTGAGATTTTTTTCTGTATATTTATACGAGAGGCTTTTTTTTCTGTTTCATACTACCTATAGCGGGCTCTACAATCTTAAATCTATGCTGAACACTGAGCGTATAAAGTTTTAATGCAACCTCCTAAACTTTCTGTAAATTAATCATATGTGGATATATTTATGATATTAAAAAATGAAAATGTGGGGTCTTATGATGGATGAAAAAAAATACTGTCCTCAAATATTCACTCAGGTGAGAGGGATTAACTGAGACTAAGTTGTTACCATTTCCTCTTGAGTAAATTGTAGAGTATGAAGGACAAATAAACAGGCAAAATAATAAGAAGAAAATACGTCACAGCGTAAATGAGATGTGCCATGATAGTGTTCATGAGGAGACTATGACAATACATAAGTTTCTCAAAAGAAACAGATCGCACTGAACAAAAAGAACAAAAGAACTGAGCAAAAGTTACACATTTGTTGTTTGTCAAAACTTGTACCGATACAATTAAGAGCTGTGTATTTTACTGTATGCCAGTTAGTTTTTTTAAATTATGCATTATTTAGAAACTTGTGAAATGGTGACTAGAAGCACATTGGTGAGCATTTTAGTGACACTTTAAAATTTTTATTTATTTAAAGTAATATCTAGTAAAACAGACTATTGGATGCACAGTTGTTTGACTCCTAACACATGGACAGATGTATCACTCCCCTAAAACTTCCTCATGCTATCCTTTCCTGTCACACTTTCCCAATACCTTTAATCCTTGTAAATCACAGATCTCTTCTCTATTTACATAGGTTTGTCTTTTGTAGAATATCATATACATGAAATCACACCACATGTAACATTTTGAGACTCATTTCTTTCACTCAGCGTAAGATTAATGCAAGCTTCTCCGTGTTTCTATAGTTTATTCTTTTTTTAAACTTTTAAGTTCAGTGTTATAAGTGGACTTTTGTTACATGGGTAAACTTGTGTCATGGGGGTTTGTTGTACAGATTCTTTCAACACCCAGGTATTGAGTCTAGTACCCATTCATTGTTTTTCTTTATCCTCGTTTCCCACCCTTGGCCCCTCAAAAGGCCCCCCAGTGTGTTTCATTCCCCTCTATGTGTCCATGTGTTCTCATTTACAATTACGAGTGAGAATATGGAATATTTGGTTTTCTGTTCCTGCATTAGTTTGCTAAGGATAATGGCCTCCAGCTCCATCTACATCTCTGCAAAAAACATCATCTCATTCTTCTTTATGGCTGCATAGTATCCCATGGTGTATATGTACCACATTTCCTGTATCCAGTCTATCCGTGAATGGCATTTAGGTTGATTCCATGTCTCTGCTATTGTGAATAGTGTGTATTCCTTTATATTGCCGTGCAGTAGACCATTGTTTAGATGTACAATTCATTTATCTATTCAGTCATTTAAGAACATTTCAGTTTTTTATAGTTTGGAGCAATTGTGAATAGAGAAACTACACTCATTAGTTTATAGATATTTGTGTGACCATGAGATCTTTATTTCTTTAGGTTAAATATCTGGGAGTGCGATTGCTGTGTCATATGTAAGTGCATGTTTAACTTTATAAAAAACTTCAAACTGTTTTCCAGAGTGGCTGTGCCATTTTGCATTCCCACTAGTTCAGTTGCTCTTTATCCTTGCCAGCGTTTGATATTATCAGGGTTTTTAAAAAGTCATTTTAGTCATTCTACTAGATATGTACTGGTAGCTCATGGTGATTCAATTAGTGTTTCTCTATTGATAATGATGTTGAGGATTATAAAGGATTCTGAAGGTTAGCATTCTTACATGCTAACAAGTTAGCCTAGCACAGTTTCATAAATGCTGACAAAAGACATGAGATTCCTGGGTCAGAGATGAAGGATGGTGATTATGCACAATAGTACCAGTAGCTGGAATAGCTGCATTTGTCTCAGTTCTCTAAGTTTCATTTCTATGGGGTGTCAGGAAGAGGGGCAGGTGACACCTGTGTATGCAGCTGATTGAATTATAATCGAGGAATCCTAAACCTAGAGAACTCAAATATTTATAATGGGCAAGAAGCCTTCTTACCCTTACTATGAAGGGGGACAGCATATCTGTCTTCCAAGGCTGTCTGCTACACAAACATCCTGAAAAAATTGAAACAAAGGCCAGCAGTGCTTCTGATTCAAAGGTGGGGGATAGCAGATAACAAGATTCTTGTTCTCATGGGGAGAGATAACAATATAAAAGAAAAACTCAGGAGGAGAGGTCCTAGAGAAACTTTGCCAATAGAATGTTGTTAAAATAACCCAGTGTGAAGTGATGGAGAGTGGCCAGGGCTAGGGCAGTCAAGAAAGCGATGACCAGATGGGTGTGACATGGAGGCATTGAAACAAAGAAACAGGATTTACAACATTAACTAAAGAGGAGAGAAAAGAAAGCACCACTCCCAAGCTGCAAGTTTGTTTTAAATAAAGTTTTATTTATAAAATTATTTTAAACTTTATTTTTAATTAAGTTTTTATTTTTATTTTATTTATTTTGAGGTGGAGTTGCCCAGGGTGGAGTGCAGTGGTGTGATCTGGACTCACTGCAACCTCCACCTCCCGAGTTCAAGTGATTCTTCTGCCTCAGCCTCCCGAGCAGCTGGGATTACAGGTGTGAGCCACCGGGCCTGTCTAATTTTTGTATTTTTGTATTTTAATTTTGTGTAGACGGGGGTTTCACCATATTGGCCAGGCTGGTCTCAAACTCTTGACTTCAGGAGTTTGAGATTGTAATCTCTCCCCAAGACCACCCACCTTGGTCTTCCAAAGTGCTGGGATTACAGGAGTGAGCCACCACGTCTGGCCTAAGTTTTCATTTTTAAATAAAATAATTTTTACAAAATAAAGGTTTTTCAGTTATGTTATGCATTCAAAATTGGTACTAAAGTCATAAAAATTAGGTATTAGCTGTATAATCAAACAAAAGGTATTTTGCAGTTCTATCTCAAAAATTAAACTGTTCTGTGACTTTGAAGAAATCACTTCTTTTTTAAAGTTGTATTTCCCCGTGCAAAATTGAGGCAAAAATGTGTGTTTCTATTCCTTTCACGGGAAGATTGTACCTCATTCAGGTAAGGGCAGCGAACTTTTAGCATGAAGTGAAAGTTTCTCTTTTGGCTTTAGGAGAATCTTTAAAATGAGAAGTATTTGCGTTTTGTAAAAATGTAAATGTTTCCAGCTGGAATTAATTCTCAAAAGTATAGCACATGGTGCAGGGGCATTGGCTCCAAAAATCCAGTGGAAAAAGGCATGAGTTGATGAAGGCTGGGAAGAAACCTATTTCTCTTTGAAAACAGTGGCAATGGCAATGGTTTCTCCCTTGAAAAATAAGCATTGTTTTACATGATTCTCAAAGCAATATTCTGCTTAGCTAGGAATTTTTGTTAATCTCATTTAGGAAATTGAGTCTCAAAAGGCTAGGGACTGCCCAAGGTTACGCCAAGATTGGCAACCTGCAGAACTAGATTTTTAACTAGGTTCTCCTCCTAAAAGTCTTTCCACCCCACTATAAATGCCTTCTTCCCTGCAAAAAGGGGCCACACTGTTCCTTGTAGACCTCAAAGGAGAGCCAAGGTGTTCGCCTCCTGAATGTACACGTTACTGTTCTGTTGTATTTTGTAGTCTCATTTCTGCTCTTTGGGACATCTCTTTGGTATTCTTGTGGGATCTCTCTCTACCGCATTCTACTTTATGTGATGATCTGTTCCATAAAGTGATTTTTAAAAGGAGACAACACCACCGCAGGTGATCTGGAGGCTTCTGGAGGACCTCAGTGACTCAGGTCCAGTCTAAGGAGGGCCATAGATGAGGCTGAAGAAGGATGGATCCACATGCTTAGAGGAGATTCGGAAATGCTGTTCATTTGGGTCCATCGCGCTCATCTGTCCCAATGAGTTTGAAGAACCAGGATCCCAAAGAAATCTTGTCAGCTTGGCTAAGCCCTATTTCAGAATAATTTCCCTGGGAAGGGATCATCATGCTGCTTCTTTGCATAGAATGTCACGCTAGAAAACAATTCTTCTCATGACTGCAAGTCTGTTTAAATTCCTACTTTGGGCCAGATACTTTGCATTGTTCGTTACCTTATTTAGCCCTCCCAACCACTCAGCAAGACAGATATTATTTTTCTCCTTCTATAGAGGAGAAAACGGAGACTCAGAGAGGTAAAGCATTATTGCCAGCTGCTAAGTGTTGTTGCCAAAATGTGAGCATGGATCCACGTAGTTCTGGAGCCTACGTTCCTTCGCCATACCATATTGTCTCGCATCAGCTGTTACAGAGCAGGCGTGCCAGGTTAGCAGTGTCAAGATAAAGGATAATTTTCTCTTTTGCTCATGACATTTCCAGCATTACCTGCCTGGCTTCCCTATTCTTAAGTACCCAATCTATTCTCCTGGGCTTTAGCAGAACCTGATCCTGAAAGGCATGAACATCTTAGACAAGTCTCAGCAAGCTGGCACCCGGGGATGCTCTGTGGGTGAATAACCCTGCTCACGGGACAGGAAAAGGACCCTAGGACCATGCTAAAAT